TGAAAGTCATGGGCATTAAGCTTTGTACTAATCAAAGGTTTAAACACTTGATTTTATAATTCTATGCAGATGTGTTTGAAAATTCCCTGTTCTCAATATCAATATGCATTGGATGATTTAAATATACAGTATTTTTTCAAAGAATTAATGTAGATGTTATTTGTAAGAAGTCTGGACTAAATTGTTGGAATATACCATATTAAATGGAAAAGAATGTTAAGGAATATAAAGATTTGAGATTACTTCAGCAAATGATTGTTTTAAAGAATTAAAAATTTATGAGGCATGGGCTACAGCAGAAATAATTATTCTTTGAAGTTGAAAAGACAATATGATCCAAGTTTACAATTGTTTACAATGATATATGTTCTCTTTCTATCTACAAAAATGTTCTTTATTGGTGCAATAGAAAAAACTAATCAATATTATTCTATGATTAGAGTTAATGATGTGTTTAAAATTGTTTAAAATGGTTTTTTTGTGTGGGGAAAATAGTTTATACATGTATGTATTAATCCAGAAAGAATAAACAGATGTGAAACACAATATTGAGCCATATCTCATTGGTATAATATTGTTCATAAATGTATATTATATACAGGCTATGTATATAAAAAGTAGAAAAAGTGCAGAAATGATTTTTTCTAATGTTGAATATGTGGTATCATTCATATTACCGTTTCCCCAAAATAAGACATCCCCTGATAATAAGCCCAATCGGGCTTTTGAGTGCATGGCAATAAGGCCAAGCGCTTATTTCAGGGTTCAAAAAAAATATAAGACAGGGTCTTATTTTCGGGGAAACATGGTAGTTAAATTCAGAGATAGGCAGTGTGATGCCTATGATCACAACCATCTTCTTTGAAACCAGGCAGCTCTACACTTCATTTGTCCAAGAAAAGTCAAAGGTGAGCCGATTTGGTAAAATCTGTAGGGTCTTACAGAAAGCTATCTCAAAAAATTTGTGGTGTTTTTTGTATTTCTTGGTTTGTGTAAAAAAGGAGAGAAGAGAGAAGGCATGTTCATCAAAGGAAACATTTTGTGAATAATTTAACATCTGCAACTGTTATTAAAATACTATTAATAAATCAATTTCCGAATGTGATACCCCACGCTCCAAAGAGTGAATCTTTGATGACTGGGTGCTTTAATTTCATCCATTTGGAAATATGGCATAAAACTGATTGGAAGTGGGTAAGGCTGTACTGTGTTATCCAGAATTGCCATTGTTTGCCTTTTCAGATTCTTAACAACTTTTAATTTCATATTTAATGCATTTACATTAGTTCTCCTTTCTCTGGAATACTTTTTTGAGATAATTATTATCAGCTTGAGAAAATAAACAGGTCACTCAAGATACATGTTCTTTGGACTTTTTTCGTAGCTTCTAGAAACTTGAATAATTTCTAAAGTTAGCTGAGGGAAGCTTTCTGTTTTGAATATTTAACCTAAATTCAAGATTGGTCTATCTAAAATTTTTTGAAACCCTAGATAATCACAATAACCTACAGGACCTCAGTATAGACAAAACAATGTCAATTAGTTCTTGAAGATACTCTGCATAGTATACTCACAAGATTGTAATTTAGTCAGCAGGAGATTTTTATAAAGCAAAACAAGGATCCAAGTTTGGATCAGAAAGTTTATAGCCTATGAGTTTATTGACTCAGGTTGCTGAAGATTCTGGATGATCAAGATGAGCCTAAGGCAAAAACATTTATTTCATTCTTTTCTCTGGATAAAAAAGTTTCACCCAAGCAGCTCTTTCATGGGTGTCTCAGGTAGGCTTGAATAAAGCTGCTAAAGTAGAGGATCAGTGTTGCTGAATTGAGAATGATTTTAATATGGTCATAATTAACCAAGACAAATCAATATTTTGTCAGCATTAAATCAACTTTTTTTATAGAATCTGAAATGTGTAGTAGCTCAACAGGAAATGATATTCCTAGACTAAGACTGGTCAATTTATATTGTTCCAAGTACTAGGCCAGATTCTGTTTGGAATGCTAAGCATGCACCAATGTTCTCCTAATTCATATGATTATGTTTAAATTGATTGTTTTGTGATAAAAAATATTGAATCATATTTTAGTTGGGTTTCCCTTATATGTTCAAAGTAAACGTTACCTGATTGCTGTTATTTTAAAAAAGTCCTTATTTCAAAATGTTAATGAAATAAAGGTGTATATATTTATTTGTTTTGCAGTAGTATGGAATACAGAAACAAAGGCCTAATTATCCTTTTTATTTCCAGTGTAGCAGATTTAATTATACTGCTCATGAGATATTAAATTTTAATTGCTGTGATAAATTTAAAGGTTGTAAATTAAATATAATACTCTGAGTTTTATTGAGCTGCTTATTAAAAAAGAATTTTGGAAAGTGTACTAGCTTACTCACATAAGTAATGCTTTTCATATTAATCAAAGTACTAAGTACTTAATTATACTCCTTGAAAAATACTGGTATACAAGAGTAGAATATGATAATGTTGGTAGTATTATATATTCTTATAAGAAAAAGAAATCTGCACTGTAAAATACAGCTGTGACTATATTGAAAACGTAATGGAAAACCAAAGCAAAATTAGGTGAAGTTTTAAAATGGGTTTTCTTACACTATGTGGTCCTGTGTAGTAGGCAATGTATTTTTAAGATCACTTCTTTAAATAATTGTTTAATTCCTAAGTGTTTAATTCCTTATTCTTCTTTTTGGACATTGGTTATGCTATCAGATTTATCAGATTGTGAGATTCTAGCTTTCTATCATTTTGCATAATGCAAAAAGTTTAATTGTTCTGCATTATGGAATAATAAAAAAATGATATTCAGGCTTTTTCCCAATACCAAATTATAAACTACCAATCCATCCTTAAGTCTGCAGAAATGGGATGTGTAATGCTTATTACCATTTCCTATCCAGCCTCTATAGCTTCTATTTTTAGACATTAACAATAACCTGGCTTCCCTGCAAAATGAGGGTCCCATTTTGAGGCAGCCCTGACAATGTCAGAATAAGAAAGGAAGTAACTGTACTAGTGCAGCTAAAGATTTCTTAAGCCTTTCTAAGTCAAGGGCTGGGAATGAGGTAAAGGCAGTATCTTTGGGAGAAAAGTCTTGTCAGGGCAAGTAGAGACACATCCTTCATCTTTTTCTGTGTGATATGTTTAGGTATTTTAAAAATGTTATTACATCCATCTTAATCATATTTTCTTAAAATTAATGTGTCCATTTTCGTCATCCCTACTTCATAAGATTTGTTTCCCTATCCATTAATTACGGTTTTCAATATCTATTTTGCTCTTGTTTCAGTTTATCTGAATCCAGTTAAAAAATTTTTTGCTTAGACCAGTTCACTCTGTGTGTGTGTGTGTGTGTGTGTGTGTGTGTGTATATGTGTGTGTGTACAGTTAATAAAACTTACTCTTTACTCCAGTTAATAAAACTTACATACATATATATTTATATATATATATGTAATAGATAAGAAAGAGAGAGAGAGAGGGAGAGAGATTTATAAAAATCTATGTCAATGATATTTCAATCTTCTAAAGCATTGGTTATCACAGCAAGAAGTTAAATTATAATGTATTAGTAAAATATGAAAGTTTTGGTTCCATCCATGGGTGAATTCTGTGGGATTCCATCTGGTACATCCCTTTGATTGGAATCCATTAGTACTATTTTGGCAACATTTCTAACTTCTCTGTAAATCTTTAATAGGTATACTATGCTGCTTGCTAATCAGAGCATTTTGGGGTACTATGTCAAATACAGAGGTGGCATTCAGCAGGTTCTGACCAGTTGTGGAGAACTGGTAGCGGAAATTTTAAGTGGTTCGGAGAACCGGTAAATACCACCTCTGACTGGCCCTGTCCCCATCTATTTCCTGCCTTCCGAGTCCCAGATGATCAGGAGGAAATGGGGATTTTGCAGTAACCTTCCCCAGGAGTGGGGAGGGAATGGAGATTTTACAGTAACCTTCCCCTGGAGTGGGATGGGAATGGAGATTTTACAGTATCCTTCGCCTGCCGCGCCAACCAAGCCACGCCCACAGAACCGTTAGTAAAAAATTTTGAATCCCACCACTGGTCAAAAACTTGTTGAAATCAAGACATCCACAGCATTCTCATAGTTGCCCAAGAAATTGCCTGATTGAAAAAGAAGTAAGTTCGGTTAGGCAAGACTTGTCTTTGTAAACACATGATGATTTCTAGTTTCAGTGTTTCCACATACTTACAGATAAATCATTTTATGACTTGCTCTAGAATTTTCCCAAGTATCACTGTTATACCTTCTAATCTGTAGGTCTCCAAATCCTCCCTTCTCCATTTTTAGAAGACATTTTCCTTCTCCAGTCTTACATTTCATATAGCAGGGATTTTGCAAAGCCAGTAGTGGTTTGGCCACACCTTCAGAACTTGGGTTGAGCTCCATCTGACCCTGGAGGCTGAACTAAAAGTCAGTTGGTATTTCATGGCCATATTTATATCAGTGAAACTTTACTTATGGTCCTTCAATCAGGTAGCTATCGTTACTTAGTATGGATGCACTAGTCATGGCCACACCAGTTTCTGTAGGAGGATCTGGGATTTTAAGAGGTGAACTATGTGAAGTAAGTCTCTGTGATATTTAAGGCATGCATTTTACAAAGTTCCAAAGAGTACTGAAACAGTCTTCCTTATTTCGGCTGCTTACATTTGGTAAGCCACAAAAAGGAGAATAGGGAGCCACATACAATGATGTTCCATATTTTTTGCATCCTTGATTTAAGAAGATAGCTAAAAGGACTGTGAATATTTTGAATAATAAAGAATCTTGCAAATGATTCACTATTTCTTTACTCTCTGAATGCAGCCCCTCCCTCCTGGGAATCCAAACAGCATCCCACCACAAAAGTTGGTTATGAACGGTGTTTGAATAATGTATAGTTCACATTTTAGTCTACCAACTTTATATTGGGAAGATCACTGATGTTCTCACATTATTCTACTTTATAAGGTTGTTTTGCAACTACAAATCTGTCCTCAATTCTTACTGGAAGAGTGGGGCCAATTTACGGTAAGTAGTATCTTTTTTTCTCCAAGGCTTTAAAATGCAAAACATTGTTATTTGTTTGTAACTTTGTACTGAATTACAAGAAAGTACTGCATCACCCCCATACTTTTTGACTGATATTATTAACAAGAAGACAATTTAAATGGAACTGGACTATGTCTCTCACAATCAAATATGTTTTCAGTAATGTAAAGATGCTTTTCCGGTTAGGCTGCTTTTGCTAGTGAACGTTTCAAAGCTGCTTTCATTTGTGCAACTGTTACAGTCAGTTACAGTCAGGTTGTTTTTTAAAAAAAATGAACATTGACCTCACTACACCTAGATTCTAACAAGTTGTTTATAGAAAGAGATACCTTAAATATAATTATCTTTCAGCAATATATGACAACAATCTGCTGTAAAATAATGTTTTTCGCATGACTAAAATTTTACATACATTTTTGTCAGAGTAACTTTCTGTTATATCTAGCAGGCTTTCAAATACATATGGATCAGATTATACTATTACTATTTAAATAAATGAAAGCTTAGCTGAACCTATCTGAATGAAATGTCTGCATTGTATTAACATTTCATATAAAATTCTCCACTGTAATATATTTATATTTTGCTAATCTTTTGTTTTATGAATATTTGATACAGTATGTTCATGCTTCACACCTTTGAATGACTGCCATGCATACTTTCCTCCCTGTTTAATTAATATAGTATTATTGAATATCATGAGATAAACATATATACATACTTTTCATGCTGTTTCCTTTTAGGGTAAGTACTGTTATATGGAGTGCAGAAAAAGTAATAAATATTAAGCCAAATAAATAAGAAAAAAAAGCGTAGTCCCTTTATTATAAACTAACACTATTCATCATATCTCCTCATAATTTCCTTTCCTACTTACATCATATCTACCATACACTACTTCATACATTACCTTTTGTTCTTTCATCTTTTGCATTTTGATATAATTCTATTTACCTACAGCTTTTTCAGTCTCCACCTTTTCGGTCCATTCATCCTTCCTTCATATATTTGTTTTGCAATTTTATTCTCATTTATTCTCTCTATATGATCAAAGCATCTCACAGTGTTTTCAAAGCATTAGCAATTTTTTTATTTATTGCCTTTCCTTGTAGAAACCTTTTGGCACCTCTAATGAATAATTGTATAGTGTTTTTGTTCTATATACGTATGTTTTATTAATGGTATATTATATTTTAAATGTTGTCATTTGATCTTGGACTGTAAATGAATAAATAACAGAATTGTTACACATCTATTAAACATTATTTAAATGTGATCATACCCAGAGTAGAAAGCCAGTGCACTTCCATATTTAAAATACATGCATAGAAAGAAATTAAAGAAAAAATTTTTTACAATCCAAATCTGTTATGCATATTTTATAGATGTAGTGATGAAGCAGGTTTTTTTTAAAGCAAAACTAAAGTTGATCTATTTTTTCTATTTTCAAATGGCAGATAGATTTTCCAGCTAAGCAAATTAACAACTCCTACCTCATATATAATTGAGAAGCTTTGTCCATTAATTTCTAATCTAGTTAATTATCCTAAAGAGCATGCAAGGAAAGGATCTTTAGTATCTTGTTTCCTCAGAGAAAATGCTTGAATGTAACATTATACTACCAAGGAAATTAATATTATAAATTAACAACTCAAATTTAGATAATTGCTATAAAAAGATATAGCTCACAATTTGAGCCTTCAGTTTTAAAGGTTTGCAACAATTTCTTTATGTTTATGGACTCCAGGGAATGGTAGAGGGGTCCCGATGGGTCAGACACGACTTCACAACTAACAACAAGAAATTCTTTGAATGTTTGTTTCCTGTCTACTAGATAGTTCAGCCAGTTAAATTCATTCTCTAGGGATGTTGTTGTTCTCCAGCGCACTGCTTGGAGAATCCAAATCTTGGGCGGTGGGGGGGAGTTCCTCAGCTTGATTGCCAGACTGGGTGAATGTTTCTTTGAAACGTCCTTGGCCACTCCTTCCCTGCTTGGCTAAGCTCCAGTTCATTCACTCATTCAAGCAAGAGACTGGTTTTTTCCTTGGCTCTGGCAATTTGGCTGAAGAACTTGCAAAATTTGGTTCTCCAAATCCTTTTTATTACCTTTTACTTCGAGCGGTGGACTTTTGTGGACTAGCCAACTCTGTTATTGCTGCGGTGGGTGAGTACGCCCTGGGGATCTGCCAGGGGGCTCCCCTCCGTGTGCCTTTTCCTTTTCCTCGGAGCACTACCTGTCAGGCAATTCTGAGTGACTGTCTTTGCCGCCGGCGGTTGCGTTGGGGTCCGGATCGCCGGAATTACCACCTCTGCCATCCACAAAACCGCTCCAACTTTAAATTTGGCGGCCAGGAGTCCCTGCATTGGTCGGCAAACTCCTTTATTATCGGCTTTGCATTCTCCTTTCATTGCGGCGCTGAGCGGCTTAAGGGAGACCTGCGCGCCTTCTGTTTTCCTTTCTGACTGCCCCTTCACTTTACAACGGTGCTCGGCGGCTAAATTCGGGCCGCGCGCCATTTTGGAGCTTGCCTCTTGCTTCCCGCCATTTCTCTGTCAGAAGCGCTCGACGGCAACTGCGATCGGCGGCTAGGTTCGAGCCGCGCGCCATTTTGAATTGTGATTGCTTCCCGCCATTAATCGGACTGAGCGCTTGGCGGCAAAGGTGATCGGCAGCTACTTCGAGCCACGCGCCATTTTACTTGAAATATATCTGCGGAACGAGGCGCCCAGCGGCTTGATACCAGCCTCTCGCCATTTCTGAGCAGTTTATTTGGCTTTTCTACAGCTCTCATACACTCTGTGAAGCCATTATTGGATCTTACTATTGCGAAGCGGCTCTGGGGTGTTTTGACACCTTCTTGGCCACCTTAATTGCTGCTCATTAGTTGACCTGCCTGTAGCAGTTGTTTGTACTTCCGCTGGTGTTCCTGTTTTTTTTTTAAAAAAGGACAAATTAATTATTCACTTGATTCATCAATTATTCCTATTGTTGTCAATTACCTACCTTGTCTGCATCCTCGCTATGGTGGAGTCTGACATCTCATAGGAAATTGAACAGGCCTACAGCCCTCCTGAGGCCAGGAAACGGTCAAAGGCGCCTGCCAAGGCTTCTAAACAACGTGATGTCAGGGCTAGGTCTGCAAGTCCTCATCCTACCACTCGTTCTGCTGCTGTGGATAGGGCTGAGGAAAGGAAACGCAAGGCCTTTGAGAAACAGTATCTTCTCGCCCAACAGAGGGCTCAATCATCTCATCACCAGATGTCTCTGGACAGGCCTACTCTGGTGACTCAAGATCATTCGGTGTCTGCTCAATGCTCTTCGGATGTCCAACACCTTAGAGAGGCGGCTTTTCCATCCATGGTTCCAGGACCCAGTGTCCCAGCCAAGCAACCTTCAGGTCGGTCTGCCCCTGAGGCTACCTTTACTCCTACGGCCGCTGGTCTTCGTCCATCGGAGGGCCTTCAGCCCGCTATGTCTCGGGACATCCAGGACCTCGTATCTCAAACTATTTCTCGAATCCTTACTTCTGCTCCTCTCCAAGGGTCTCAGGTTCCTGTCTTGGCTCCTCCCCCCTTGGCTCCATTGTATGGCGATCCGTGATGTTCTTATTTTCACCATCCAGAATCCCTTTTAACTGAGGACTCTCCCTGGGAGGAGGAGGAGCTTGAAGAAGGGGAATTGTCTGAGGACGAGGACCTAACTCCGGAAAGACCTTCTTTTACGGGACTCTTCTGTCCTTCCATGTTTAAGTCCTTGCTCCACAAGGCCAAGATTACCACTAACATGGGATTATCATCTTCTCAGACATCTCAACAGACGGATCTGAATCCTCATGACGATCTATTCCACCTGTAAAAACCGGATCAGGATTTTATTCCATGCCTGGAATTATTCATTGATGTGGTTCAAAAATCATGGTCCCAACCCGCTTACATTTCTGCTCCGACGGGACTCAATAAGCGGTTATACTGTTCAGATCCTTCCTTACAGGATCTAATTCATTTACCTTCGGTGGACCTTCCTGTGGCCCAGCTGACATCTACCTCAGTGATTTCCAACGATGTGCTCGATGGACTCAAAACTGAGGACAGAAAGGCTGAGTTGTCTCTCCGCAAGACACATCAAGCTGTGGCCTGGGCCATCCGGTCATCTATGTCTACTTCATTTTTTGCTCGCGCAGCTCTCATCTGGTTGCACCAATTGCAGGAGCGGCTCCCGCCTGATGACAGCAGGCTTCATCATGACATAAATAAAATCGTGGCAGCCACCGAGTACTGTGCAGACGCGTCTTTGAATGCGGCTAAATTTTCCTCTCGGGCCCTTGTCTCCAATGTCACCTCTCGACGTCTTCTTTGGCTCTGCCACTGGAGGGCCGATCTCAAATCAAAGTGGAAGCTGGCATCTGCCCCTACAAGGGTTCTCTTCTCTTTAGACTTAGACCCTATACTTGTGGAGTATAGCCTTAGACCCTATACTTGTGGAGGATAAGGATAAATAGAAAGTTATGCCTTCCTCTTACAAACGTCATGACAGGAGATTTGCTCCTTACAACCAAAGGCAGCCCTTTCGGACTGAGTCCGGACCCAGCGGGTCCTACTTTTCCAGGCACTTCTCTCACGGAGGCGATCAGGCCGTGGAGTGACCTGCCTACCGGGATCGGGGCAGAAGTCAGCCTAACTCCAGACGACAATACCGTGGGGCCTCCAACCGACCTTTCCGGAGGGGCAAGTGACTACACCGTAGAACTACCCATTGGCAGTCATCTCTCCACTTCTTGCCCCAATGGGTTTCTTCCACGACAGACGCTTGGGTTCCCCAGACTGTGAGGCTCGGCCTCACATTGGACTTCCTCTCCAGCCCTCTGAACCGCTTCCTCCGATGCACCATACCTGGCAACCCGGAGAAGAGAGCTTTGATGGGTGCAGAGATACAACATCTGCTCGACATCTGCGCCATCGAACCTGTACCGGTAGAACAA